AATATATTACCGGTGAAGTTTGTAATTTAGGTCAAACAATGTCGAAAAATCGAAGATATTTGATACGCACACAACGTCAACAATATATCTGTTAACACTTTCCATAACAAGCGCCCCCTTATCTCGTCACGTGACGTTAATAAAGAGAGGACAATAACATATTTGTCACGTGGTCCAGCTAGCCTAACCATCCCATTTCTATTAACCGTGGTCACATCGGTTGCAAATCCCACTTCCACACTTGATTAGGTTCAGAATTTGAATCTCGCACGTGATTGGCCATTTGTAAAACTATGTCAAACCGGTACATTACTGTAAGCTAATTATAGCTATAATAGCTATAATTAGCTTACAGTAATGTTTATTTCCCAAACCGGTTTGACATATTTTCACAAATGGCCATCAAATTATGAACCTAATCAAGTGTAACCTGTGATCAGGCCTAAATAATAAATAGGAAGTGGGATTTGCAACCGATGTGACCAGAGGCTCTTCCTTCTCGCTTCTCGTCTCTTTCGCCGCGCAAAGAGCCTCTGGAACCAGGGTACAGTAGAACAGACGTAATGGGAAGCGTTGTGGGCATTGTCGACTGAGTGGCAGCAAACCATTATTTCTCCATGAAGAGTATATTATTATGGGGAACCCCCCCCCCCCTATTACGGACATACAGTATACTTCGGACACCACAGGACGATTCTAGGACGATTTGCATTGTCTATTTTGCAGTGTGAATGCGACAAGCAGCTAGGACATCTGCTTTCATCTTAATGAAATTATTATCCTATACATGCAAGTATTTATAACGCAACGGTTTTCTTTTACAGATACAGCGAATTGCCCTTGCGCAAAAAAGAAAACCTCAGGCAACAATTTAGAGAAGAAATTAGTGTCTTCAATCCGAATCAACTTGTTTTTGTTGACGAAACAGGCATTGTATGCACATATTGACATACTGTATTATGGAACAATTAACGATCTCTTGTTACTCATAAGTTACTGTTAGTATTATATTTTCGTGCAGGATAAATTACTTGACAATTCGGATTTTAAATTTTTTAATTTTACAAGCTTTATCACAACATTAAGATTACATAACAAATAACAATAATGAAATATATAACATGGCCAATTACTGTAATCCCCAAATGACAAAACGTACGATTTACAAATGTACAAGTAGGTTAGGTCTCGGGCCATGGTTACATTTTAGGCAAATCGTTTTCCACGATCGAGAATCGTCCACGTTATAATTTATTTCTAAATGCTGTATGCCTGTATAGTAATATAATATTATGAGTTTTTTAAAGATTGTTAGAGAGTTATATTTATTGGTTATTGATCTTGGTAATACGTTCCAGATTGTTCTTGTTCTTGATTGTATAAGTCTGCTGGTAGGTCGAAGTCTTGCATTTCTTAACTTGGAAGTTTAAAGAATTTGGATCCATTGATCTTGTAATTCGTGAGGTTTTATGTTTTGGAAGAACTGCATCTGAGAGGCACATGATACCACAATTTGCTTTGTAGAAAAATTATAGCATGTCTAGATATTCGTGCCAATAACTTAGAGGTGTAAAGTTCAAGTCAATAAACCTTTGGGTGTAGCTTCTTTCACAAAGAAAGGATGTATATGGAAGCACGTTTCTTTACGCGTTATAAGCGAGCGATCAGATCGATAATTTGCGGAGACCAAACTTGTGTAGCATACCCCATTTGAGCCCGAACAAGTGTAATATACAGCGTCCGACGGGCTTTACAGTTCTTAATTGTTCTTGTTGATCTTTAATTTGATGAAACCCAACATTTCATTTGCTTTTGAGCATTGTTCCAATACCTGTTTGCGCCATGCAGGTCAAATTGTTTGATATATACGTACGCCTAGATCACGCTCATTTTCAGAGTTCTCTAACGTGCTATGTTGTAAAGTGTAAGGATACTTGATCTTCTGATGTTTTCTGGTGACCCGCGCGCAATGCTTTACATTTCTAGAAGCGTTTAAGTGAAAACCCACATCAGAAGAGCTGGATTCAAAATTCCTCAGATCCTCCTGTAAGGATACAGCATCACCGATATTGCTTATTTCTTTGAAGATTTTGGTGTCATCGGCGTATGTTGCGATGGAGGAATTCTTCACAGAAGAAGGTAGATCATTTTCACATGGTAAAAATACCACCGGTCCGAGAATAGAGCACTGAGACATCCCTGACGTTACTTGACTAGGTGAAGATGTTACACCGAGGATGGTTGTTTGTTGAAAAGGAGCCTGTAAGTTCGAGCAGAACCAGTTGAGAATATTACCTCAAAAAAGATTATGGCTAACCTTGTCAAAAGCCTTTGACATATCTAAATATATTACATCTATCTTTTTGCCACGATCTAGTTGATTCCCTATTTTGTCAAAAACTTCGATAACTTGAGTCACACAGTTTTTCCCAGGGAGGAAACCATGTTGACAGGGATTTATTTGAGAGAAAATGTGATCTTTAATACTATTGAAAACGCAGCGTTCCAGGACTTTCGAAACCAGAGAGAAGAGATATGTGTCTATAATTTCCAACACACCAAACAGGAACAACATTTGATAGTTTCCAATCGAATGGTACCACGCCAATACGCAACATGGAGTTCCACGCGCACTGTATCCGAATTGTCGAGCAATTTATCATGCATGAAAATATAATACTAACGGTAACTTATGAGTAAACAGGAGATCGTTGTTCCATGCAGCCATGGATAATGCAGTATGTTTTATCAAATTTGTACATGCAATGCCTGTTTCGTCAACAAAAACAAGTTGATTCGGATTGAAAACACTAATTTCTTCTATAAATTGTTGCCTGAGGTTTTCTTTTTTGCTGAAGGGCAATTCGCTGTATCTATAAAAGAAAACCGTTGCGCTATAAATACTGTATATAGGTAAAAAGCCTAGCAAATAATTTCATTAAGATAAAAGCAGATGTCCTAGCTGCTTGTCGCATTCACGCTGGGAAATAGACAATGCAAATCGTCTGGACTCACAAATTGTCCTAGACAAACAAGGCGTGCTTTGTTCATTATGGTGGTTTGTGTACATAAATAAAATCTCTACTAAATTTATTTACATATCAAATTTGTAAAATAATATTGAACATAAAGACCCGTTTCATGGTACCAGAATTAAATAACTTATTGAGTAATTATGATGTAACGTTGTAATTAAGAATATGGAAAGTTTGGTTTGAAATATCTCCTTTTTATATTAACTAAATACACAATCACAACATAACCCTTTTCAACAATCCTTTTGCTGTCTTCACGCCTCCCTCCATGAAATTCTCTTAAATTAGCAAGATATTTCCTGCGCCATCTATTCCAGATATTTTTCTTTTTCTTCCTCAAGTACTTAAACCGTCTGTTGCAGTTGTTTCCGTGCGACGCATCACTAACCACTGTACCCGGCTCGAAGGACCATGTATCGCGTAACTTAGTGCGATTTAAGTCATGCACGGTTTGCTGGCTCACGATTCAAGACACTGCACATTTGGGACTGTATTTTTAAAATATATTTGACTTGTTAAGTGCGCGTCGTTTTACAATGTCTGATGTTACTTCGAATTACCCAACACGATTGCGGTTCAACAATATCATTCACTTTATTCACTGTCGCTGCGCTAGGAACTGATCGATTGAAATATTTGACATACAGCTATTTCAATTAAGGTTGTCCACGAGCAAAGCGGAAAAGTCGAATACGAGCGCGAAAGGCTGCTGGGAATCCCTAATAAATGAATGAATTTTCATAGCGATTCCCAGCAGCCTTTCGCGCTCGTATTCAACTTTTCCGCTTTGCTGGGGGACAACTTTAATTGAAATAGCTGTATGTGATCATGCATGCATGATTCTCATAATTTATTTTTGAACGGTCTTTACTATAAATTTCTATATCTACAAGTAAGCACTAATCATAATAATTCGATTAAATAACCTTCCATAGTTCCAATCCAGAATAAAAGTTCTTTAGGCATTAAGCTGTAGGCCACACCAGGGAAAAAAGGAGATTTCACAAATCTTCCCTCGATGTATCTGAAACTGCAAATGCAATAGACATATGCAACATTATACAATCGTGATCTTCTCCTAAATTCCTAATCCTAGCTACCTCTTATTTTAACGCTAATCATTTCCTTAATCCTACCACTGTTCTAACTTAATCTAACCAGAAGTCCTATCTTAATCGAACCCGAACCTAATTCCATCATGCATCCTTGTATATCCAATCCATACATGTCCAATACCTATGCAAGATGTCCAATGGAATAATCAAAAGGCCATTGGACATTCCATTTGTCAAATGGATCAAATGGACCTCCAATTTTCCATTGGACTTTTGCTTGTCCATTGGATCCAATGGACAAATGGAATGATCCAATGGACAAGTGGAATTTCCATCGGACATTTGCGTTTTCAGTTGGTGAATTGCCATGTATTTCAATGACGTAATGACAAGCACATGGACGTCATGTAGATATACAAGGCCATTGAGATAGCCAAACGAATTGTCCATTGGATCCAATGGATCCAATGGACACCGCGTTTTCCGTTGGAAAAATATTTGTCAGATGGATCAAATGGGCAAGTGATTTCGCGTGCGGGCATAAAATTGCTACAGCAGTTAGCGAATAGTGGCTTCAGCATGTGGAAATATGCAATCATACTTCTTTTGAGTATTTTTTTGCGTTCTTGTTAAAGTGTGTAAATCTACATAATTAAAATTACAATGCGACTATTATTGCTACAGACATGTATAGTTGAGGTTTGGGCGAAGGTTAATATTAGTATACAATGGACAAAATAGCCTTTCCATTGGAAAATTACCTGTCAATCGGTCCAATGGGAAAATAATATGGAAGTCAATAGACATTTCTTATATCAATAATATAACAAAATGTTATTGCTTCGATCTTAAAAACTCACGCAATATATCAACATAATTTTGCTTCGTTCTCAAGAAACCACGCGTACATAACACGGGAACGGGAAGATCCTTACATGAATAAATAAATATAATATGTTGTTGCTTCGTTCTTAAGAACTCGCGCAATATATCAACATAATTTTGCTTCTTTGTCAACTAGAGACCACGTGTACATAACACGGGAACGGGAAGATCCTTATATGAATAAATAAATATAATATGTTGTTGCTTCGTTCTTAACTCACGCAATATATTATATAGCAATATAATATGTTGTTCTTTCTTTCTTTCTTAAATTAAGAAACCTACACGCAATATATCAATATAATATGCTGTTGCTTCGTTCTCAAGAGATCAACTGGATCCAATGGAAAAATAATATGCAAGTCAATATAGACATTTCTTAGCCTATATCAATGATATAACAATATGTTGTTGCTTCTTTCTTAAGAACTCACGCAATATATATATCAACATAATTTTCCTTTGTTCTCAAGAGACCACGTAAATAACACGGGAACGTGAAGATCCTTATATCAATAATAATATAGTATGTTGTTGCTTCGTTCTTAAGAAATCACGCAATATAGGCTATCAATATAATATGTTGTTCGTTCATTCGGTTGAGAAATCACGCAATACAGCAAAGCATAGGCTAATATGCTATATACGTCGTTGCTTAATTTGTTCTCAAGAGACGCGCAATATATCAATATAGCTAATATAGCACTTGCTTAATGTAAACATGACTTTAGTCAAAGCTGCTAAAACTACCGCTTATGCGCAGGATATAACCGTCGTGGGAACAGACTTTATAAATATAATATGTTGTTGCTTCGTTCTTAACTCACGCAATATATTATATAGCAATATAATATGTTGTTCTTTCTTTCTTTCTTAAATTAAGAAACCTACACGCAATATATCAATATAATATGTTGTTTTTTGTCGGAATACGACGTCTTATGATGCATTTAATTATAACGTTTCCTTTAATTAATTGCCTCCGGCTCCTGGTCATCTTCTTGCGCTCTGCCTATATCTAGTTCACTTCATTTCGAACGCAAAGTTCTATTAATCTAAATAAAGTTCTATGTAGATATGAAGATGGACATATATAAATATATTCTAGGGTTTGTTGAAGAATATATTTGCCACAGAACAATTATGCCGTGAGCCTATCGCATATTTTTAGGGGTATATATACCAACTTGAGATATTACCTTATGCCTTATATTCTATATATAAAGTTTAATTGTGTTATCAACCTATAAGGGTTCAATAACAATGCATGCAAGCGTATTTTACGTTGCAAATGCAAAACAAATAAATTAAATGCAGTGGGGTACTTAATAAGCATCGACACTTAACCACAACTCCAAGCGTAAGCTATCGCAAGCTTGTGTTCAAATCCAACATTTTTAAATCTTTTCGTCAACGTATTTTTAACGTATAAAGCCAAAGTCACTACGCACGACATATATGTTTAATAGTTATATATCATAATATCAATACAGACAATACTGCATGGAAACGCCGAAAATGTTTAATCCTAGTCGGATAGAATTTCGCGGCGGCCTCATGTTTCATGCTGTTGTGTTTATAAATTTAAACTGATAATAACCTTTGCCCAATATACTCTGTAGCTGTACTCACATGGTAATTCTTATTCTCTACATTTACACTAAAAATACAAGTAGGAAAATAAAAACTTAACAAGAACGCAAAAATGAATGAAAGCAAGAATGATTACATATTTCAATATGCTAGCAGTCACTATTCACTAACTGCTATTGCGATATGCCCGTACGAATCAATCACTTGCCCACTTCAGCATTTTAATCCTGCTTTCGCGTCTATGACTATAACATCTTTAAAATGTCTAAACGCATTTTAAGTCAAAGTCACTACGCGCGAACGAAAGTGCAAAAGAAAATCTTTAATACTAGTCGGATAGAATTGAGTGACATTTGACATATATTACAGTAAAATGTAGTAAACAGCCAAGCAGCAGAACGTTTTATACTAATAACCATTGCCCAAACCTCAAATATACATGTCTGTAGCAATAATAGTCACATGGTAATTTGAATTATGTAGATTTACACACTTTAACAAGAACGCAAAAATAAATAGTGAAAACAACTATGATTGCATATTTCAATATGCTAGCAGCCACTATTCGCTAACTGTTTTAGCAATATGCCCGCACGCAAAACACTTGCCCATTTGATCCATCTGACAAATATTTTTCCAACGGAAAACACGGTGTCCATTGGATCCATTGGATCCAATGGACAATTCGTTTGGCTATCTCAATGGCCTTGTATATCTACATGACGTCCATGTGCTTGTCATTACGTCATTGAAATGCATGGTAATTGACCAACTGAAAAAGCAAATGTCCGATGGAAATTCCACTTGTCCATTGGATCCAATGGACAAAAAAAATTCCAATGGACATTTGCAAGTCCATTGGATCCATTGGATCCAATGGACAATTCGTTTGGCTATCTCAATGGCCTCGTATATCTACATGACGTCCATGTGCTTGTCATTACGTCATTGAAGGACATGGTAATTGACCAACTGAAAACGCAAATGTCCGATGGAAATTCCACTTGTCCATTGGATCCAATGGACAAACAAAATTCCAATGGACATCTGCAAGTCCATTGGATCCATTGGATCCAATGGGCAATTCGTTTGGCTATCTCAATGGCCTTGTATATCTACATGACGTCTATGTGCTTGTCATTACGTCATTGTAATACATGGTAATTCACCAACTAAAAACGCAAATGTCCGATGGAAATTCCACTTGTCCATTGGATCCAATGGACAAACAAAATTCCAATGGACATTTCCAAGTCCATTGGATCCAATGGACAATTCGTTTGGCTATCTGAATGGCCTTGTATATCTACATGACGTCCATGTGCTTGTCATTACGTCATTGTAATACATGGTAATTCACCAACTGAAAACGCAAATGTCCGATGGAAATTCCACTTGTCCATTGGATCCAATGGACAAACAAAATTCCAGTGGACATTTCCAAGTCCATTGGATCCATTGGATCCAATGGACAATTCGTTTGGCTATCTTAATGGCCTTGTATATCTACATGACGTCCATGTGCTTGTCATTACGTCAGTGTAATACATGGTAATTCACCAACTGAAAACGCAAATGTCCGATGGAAATTCCACTTGTCCATTGGATCCGATGGACAAACAAAATTCCAATGGACAAATAGAGATCCATTTGACAAATGGAATGTCCAATGGCCTTTTCATTTTTCCATCGGACATCTTGCATGGGTATTGGACATTAATCATCCTACCAATCTAAAACTGTTGCTCTTCACGAAATCTCGCGATTTATTCAAGTAATTGCATCTAAGTCAAGGAAATTCCACGATAAAATTGTATTATAGACAAATTTGGCTAACGTTGTTTAGGTCGTTGCTACCCAAATCACAACTAGTTACTATTGTTCTAATTTACAGAAGCATAGAATAGAACAAACGTAACTAAGCATTAGAATTATACATGTATGTGTAAAGAGTCATTCACTAATGTAGATAATTTTAAAGCTTAGTTACCTTTGTTCTATTCTATGGCTATGCTTCTGTGTACTATAACAATAGTAACTAGGCATGCGAGTTATAGGAAAAGTTTTGAAGAGGGCCTTTTCTCTATAAAGTTAAATGTACATTAAGATAATCCTCATGTACTAACTTTTATAGGATGGGATGTCGAGAATCTGAAAATCTTGCTTCACTATACTGGAGCAAGCAAAGGGCCTATAGTTATAGGACTTATAGGGTAAATGCCCAAGTAATTATATATAGTTTAAAAATAACCTGTGTTGTACCTTTGTACATACCTTTTTCGTCCTTTTTTCCCTGCTGAAAGTCTAAAGATGCAGAATTTATACAGTATCTTTTCCCTGTTGGCTGGGGACCATCTTTAAAAAGGTGGCCTAGATGAGCTCCGCACTAAGCAAGAAAAATGAGCAAGTTGCCTTTAGTTGATAAAGAAGGTCATATACTTGACTGTGCTCTAAACTATCAGAACTGCTTTGAATTGCATACAATATTGGTGTATATTTATATAGCAGGTAATTTTTCAACCGGACTCACGAAAAAGTCGAAAGTTTTTTTCTTCTGAAGAACCTTGCTTTTAAATAAGGTGTTAAGAAAAACTTGTGAAACAATTGCTCATCCGCACGGAACTCTACCTGGGCACAAACGATCTCAGTTCTTCTCATTCCAAGAGATGTATCAACGTTTTCCTTCACTGCTCCATATTGGATGATGTCATAAAATGATGGCCAACCACTTCCTGAGTCGAATTTTGTAGATGAAGAGAAAAGCTCTTGGTTGCAAACAATACAACGATAGGTGCCGTCTTTATGGTTGTCCAAATAAACACCAGTAAATGCTCTAATTAACAAAACAAGTAATTTTCTGCATTAGAAAACTGTTTCATAAAATAAGCCATATTCGAATTATGTTTGCCTCCAGATGACTGTATAGGAAACAGCATTATATTTATTTCAAGTGTGTTAATTGACCCTCCCCCGCCGCCATTCCGCCGCCCTTCCGCATGTCCTTCCTTTTCCATGTAGAAGTTAGTTTACTAGTTTCATATTAATCTGACACTGCAATCGAGCAACGAAAAATTCGTTGGCTCGAGCGGGATTTGAACTCGCATCTTCGGGTATCTAGACCGCCGCTCTACCTATTGAGCTATCGAGTCAACAG